CGCGCGATTCTTTCGTGCATATCACCGATGGTTTCCATTTTTGCAAACATGCGCGCATGTTGACGTGCAAAGTTTTGTGCTGCTGCAAAAGGAATTATCATGCGATTTCCATATAAAGTGAGGCAGCTATCCACCCACGGGAAACAAAACCAATATTTTTCGACTTGCCGTTCCCTTTATTCTTCTTGATAGAGCGCGATGACGATGGAAGACCTTCAACTATAGTCCTTGTGGATTTCTTACGAGACGGAATTTTAGACTAAAATCAAAGATAATGCGACCTTTTGACTTGTCATTATTCTTCTTGCTTGCTTCTTCGTCTTTTGACCAAAGCGGGACCGAAAGATGAGGATTTTTAAATTCTTTCATGAGTGATTTGACTGGGACCAGTATGAACATGACGCATCAGCACTACTCCAGAGACATGTGAGCAGATCTGCGGCAGGCACACGCTTCTAACTTGCACCTCGTGGGTATCCACATGAAATGTGTACGAGCTGATGCGTATCCATTCCGGCTAGTCTCTAGTGAGTATACCACTCTCATTTTAAAACGGACCCTTTCCAAACCAACATTGAACACACTCCCTACATCAGACAGTTGATCAACCAGACGCACTAGGTACTGCTGCAAGCCCCCTCCCAACGTTCCCGCCACTTTTCAGCGCCGCCATGGTCTTTCGAAATTCTTTTTGTGAATTCTTCTACCGCGAATTTTTTGCTCTTTTGCTATTTCGCATATATACTAAATGAGAAGGATTGATATACCGACACAATTACGACTCCCCCCCCCCCTCCTTTTTACTGAAGGTATTGTAAGTTTCAAACTTTTACAACTTTTTCAAGGTCAAATTCATTCTTCATAAAACGATTGTGCTCATAGGCATGCACTTAACAGTGAGCTCTGCCCGCGTGGCCACACATACTTTCGCGTCTTTTTCAAAATTCTACCTTTTCAGCCGCAACAGATGGTTCCGCCTGCTTAGCACAAGCATTTCTCAATTTCAGAAATGATTCAGAATGGAAGGCTGGAGTTTCAGTTTGCGAGCCGGGGTCTCCCCGTCCAGAACAAAAAACAGACAAACCGAAAAGTAGGCGAGATTTAGAGGGGATGGGGGGTGCTGCGGTACCTACTGTGGCCTAGATAATCAACTGTTTGATGTAAGGAGTGTCCTGTATGATTTGAAGATTGTCCATTTCAGTCCGAAAAGTGCCCGACTGAAAATAAATGGTATACTCCACGAATACTATTTGAAATTCTGAAATACCTTCTGTGTGGCACTCTTTATAGCCGAGGAGATTGTCGAAGCTGTGAAACTGCCGTGTCCTCTGCACACTGAAGTTGGAGTCGTCGATACAGGGATTTTTGATTGCTTGGGCGTAGAAGAGTTAGACTTTTTGGATTGTTTGGGCGTTGTAGAGTTAGAGTTCATGGTCGCTTGGTCACAAGTATTGTTCGCTGTCAATATTTTGCTGAAATATTCCTTTGGAAACAATCTGTGATAGTAAAAATTTAAGTTACAATAAAACACATGTGATTGAGGTATAAGTTTACCTTCTAACATGATTATGCGGATTAGCCGGACAGTTTTCAGCATGGTTCTTTTCTTGTATCGCCTTCGAGCGAAAGTAGATGTTACTCGTTTTCCATGGCCTCTGTAAGCAAGGAAAATACACGAATCATGCACGCATAAGAAAAGCTCATTATTGAATTGAACAGAGCACACCATTGGTTGGGAATTTTAGTCGAGTCCGTACGACCCCCCCCTTTTTTTGGAGGGGGGGGGGGGGGTGGTAGCGATAGTCCCCTCCATGCAGGGCTCTGCCCCAGCTTCATCGAATAAGCGTGAGCGGGAGGGGGGGGGGGGGGGGGGTAAAGAGCACATGTGCAAGCAGGAGAATACAGTAAAGTCATACCCTCCGAACGCAATCTATACAGGCAAAATGACAGATCTCCCGCACCCCCCCTGCCTCCATACAACAGTAAGTAAGGAAACGGTTGGTTCAAACAGGAGGTCCAAAGCACTATTTTCAGAGTATAGATCCAAAGCTCTTGTCAGCCAGATCAGGATTATGGTTATGAAGGTTGCTCATAAGGAGCGATAGAGACAAGAAAGGTGAGTCTTCGGCCTTTGATCGATCTTTTGGGATGCGACATGCACTACTCTATTAGAATCATAGCTGGGTTCAGTGTGGCGGTGATGGCTTACAATTTGTGGGGCGAGAGTTGGCCTGACGGAGCCGATCCGGACGCGGACGCGCGCCGTGTGACTGTTGCCACTTGCATACAGCCACCGCCCGCTCAGGTATACTCGAGATCCCTGAGATCGGGTAGGTGGGGCTGCATTCTTCAACTTAACCTGAAGGTGTGTATGCTTCTGGTGGAATATTTCCATCTTCACATAACTGTGCCGTGTCTTAGTCAACACCAGACAAGATGAAGTTGTTCCGAGATGGATGATTCACGAGTAACAGTTCCGTGGACGATTCAAGATTCTAGACGCGATACTCTGGGTCAGGGAATAAGGAGTGTACGATAATAGCCGTAAGCTTGATTCAACAGTCAATTGCTCATATGATTAGCGAGACTTTGCTCTCGATTACAGTATTGGTACTCTTGAACGATAGAGGGGCAAAGCGCACAAGTTACTATTGTATAAGCCCCTCCCTTTACTTCGTGATCAACTGCAGCGTCGAATACAGCACTTTACCCGAACAGATGTCCAAATCTTGTGAACTTGCTTCAGGTTCACCATCAGTGATAAAATCTGAAAGAGCATTCTATAGCGCCTGTAAGAGGATCATGCCGAGGGATGAGGAATACCCATTTATGTGTCAGAAAAAGGGGCGTTTTAAGCATGTGTAGTTGTGAGAAGTTTCGAGATGAAGATAGGGCAGTAAGGACGTAATAGGTAGGACAGAGGTAGTATGAGCAGCTAAGCTGTTTCGCACATACAGTAGTTGTAGCGCTCTCCATCTGCTTGGGAGGAGGAAAACTACTTCCGGCATAGCTCGCAATATTTTCTAGCTAGTTGACTTGACAGACACAGATTGGGAGAAAGCTGGTCGACTTGAAACGCGCAGAGAGTTGTTGAGGCGCAACACTGCACATTAAGTGGATTTAGGGTCTATGGAATAGCTCGTAAACTCACTCATCCGCTTGTTGATGCTTTTCGGCTGCGAATGTGAAGTAATGTCCACGGCCTTTCTCCCTACATAACTGTATGGACGCGATCTACCTGAGTGGTGTATAGTGCTGGAACGGCGAGCTTTCCTGGAACTACGAGGAGTCTGTCCACGGACTGTTTCTGAGCATGGGGATTCGACACCTGAAGTAGGTATGAATGAGTTATCAGACAAAGATGCAAAGTCTGTGTTTTTTTCGAACATTCCGCCAGAATGTCGATCTTTTTCTGACGTGACGAATGCTTTATTGCGATTGGCACGGCATCACGATGACGCACTATTCTTGTGGGTGTTGTATTATTAGTTGCGTAGGATCTACAAATATTTGGATTAAACTGAATGGAAAATGACATTTGAATATATTACAAGCTTAGAATTTCTGAGAAATTTCCTCTCACACTCTGGGACAAAAATTCTAAAATAAAATACATCTTATACTGACTTGAGGGGGGGGAGCTGGCGCCGAGATTGTGTCGTATAAGATCGCACGCGTGCCCGCAGCGTACAAATAGCGCCCTCCTATAGCTTATTCTCAGCACCCTAACGCGAGCTACATTCTTGATCGCCGGGATGTTGGAGCGTGACAGTTCTAGATTTGGAGCGGCGCCAGCGCGTTTCCATCAATTATGGTCGCTTGGCGGAGCTTCACTATGAATGAGAATCAGTCGGCGCGCCGCAATTATTCAGCCCCGACACGCCATGGCATCCACAGCAAGCAAGATTGTATGCCTTTGGAAGGACAGAGCATAGCATCGTCACTCCATAAAGAGACTAAAAAAGGGCAGCAGCGAAGATTGTCACGGGGCAACTCCAGCCAGCATGAGCTCTGCTCTGCAAACCAATCAGCAAAACATTCAGAAGGCAGCACTGAATGTTGGTTAAAATATTTGTTCATACCTTATGATTACCCAGCAATTGATGTAATCGTTGGCTAGGCTGCGTAAATGAGATACATATCGGCTCGACTTTTCGTCAGGTGCATCTGACTTCTTAAGCTTAAACCGTCGAAAACATTAACTAACTATTTGCGTAGGGGATAGGGTGTTCAGCTTCGCAGGACAGAGACGGCGAAGACCTTACTTAAAGCTACGATTGTGACGGAACTTCCATTTCGCTCAAGAAAAGGCAGTGCGAACATAGTTGTGGTGGGGACATGCGCAACACATGCTTTTTGAGTACGTCGGGATTAGGCCGGGGCGAATCTGCACTCAGGCTAAGCGAGACTTGGCTAAAGGAAGATAAAGGGGCACCTGTGGTCTTGCAATACGTGTGCACTGAACAATCGAAAAGATAAATGAAAGAAAATTTCAGAAGACTTCGTACATCCCCCGCCACCGACATATCGATGTTCATTCAGTTTATAATGATCGGTCTATTCTTCTTACCCTTTTCATATCCCTGTTCAGTGGCATTCTTAGGATCGCTGATGAGCTGAAATTCATTTTTTAGGAAAATTTAAGCGCGAATCTCGCCATAAATAATCCACTAAGTGTGTGTGTGTGTGTGTGTGTGTGTGTGTGTGTGTGTGTGTGTGTGTGTGTGTGTGTGTGTGTGTGTGTGTGTGTGTGTGTGTGTGTGTGTGTGTGTGTGTGTGTGTGTGTGTGTGTGTGTGTGTGTGTGTGTGTGTGTGTGTGTGTGTGTGTGTGTGTGTGTGTGTGTGTGTGTGTGTGTGTGTGTGTGTGTGTGTGTGTGTGTGTGTGTGTGTGTGTGTGTGTGTGTGTGTGTGTGTGTGTGTGTGTGTGTGTGTGTGTGTGTGTGTGTGTGTGTGTGTGTGTGTGTGTGTGTGTGTGTGTGACCACGCAAATTCATAGCTTCTTTTTATTTGCGTAGGGGGTTCGAATATGAAGTGATTATGGGGGGGTGGGGCAGGGTATAGATTTGGTGGGCTACCGGAAGTAATACAACTTACATAAGGTCGTAGGATATTGTGCACCGCGGAAGCTTCGTTCTTCTTCGCTTTTCATTCTCCTTGGCTTCTTTTTCTTCCTTCCTTCTGATACCCCTCTTCCTTATTTCCTTTACTCTAAATGCTTGGCCAGAAGATGCGATGAGAAAACATCTCTGGACTGCAGCGAGAGAGCATCCGGGCGTTAGAGAATATGCCATTAGTAACCGTTTTCATCAAACGCGCAGCCACAGCAAAGCGTAGTCCCAGCAGGTAATTCAGGAACCGGATCGGGAACATTATTGGTGGGTCACAGGAAGTGATAAAAACTGACAAGCGGCTTTAGCAAGCAAGCGCCGGCGGTCAATTCATAATTCAATGCCTCAGCAACAAGGAGAATGCGGTTTAAACAGTGACAGGAGTGGAGAAATGGTGACAGCAAGCAATAATCACGGAAAGAGGCTCATAGAGTCAGTCTCTGTTTAGCCTCTTCACACTCCTTACGACTACCTAGAAACAATGTGGCACGAGTATCAAAGGGCTGAAGCTCACCAGGGGAGTCCGCCAACTTACCATAGAATTTTGACTGCGACTTGCACTTCACAAGCAACTTATGAGCAGGTAAAGTTTGTAAGGGTGCAGTAGGTTGAAGGCCTGGTGGTGAGCTGTGATAAGGGAGCTATAGCATACGTCGGAGTCGTCGAACGTCGAACCTTACCACTGAACCACCACTCAATTCGAAGTATGCGAGATTATTGCTTTTGCTTAAGCAGTTGCACACTGAAGCCCCACCTAACTCGTAGCTACAACTTTCACGCTGTATAAGCCTGTGCTCCGTTGATCATCGAGTTCCTCGACGGGGGGCGTCAGTAAACGTCTCATTCATTCCTGCACGCTGGAAGAGTTGCCGGTGGTATCTCTCTCAGGTCGAGGAACGATGAACTTCATACCATTCGTTCAGAGCTCTTTCACGAAGAATCTGACCATCGCGTAGGCGGTCTTCCAGGCGTTCGCTTGACATCCCGTGGAATCCAGTCGGTGATTGCTCTGGTCCAGCGGTCGTCCTCGAAACGCATGACGTGTCCGGCCCACCTGATCTTCGAAGCCTTGGCAAATGCGGCGGCGTCTCTAGATTTGATCGTTGGCGGAGTGCGGAGCTCCGGATCCCTCTACAAACTTTACCTGCTCAGAAATTCCCGTTGAAATGCAGGTTGCCGTTTTGCTATCTATATTTGTAAAACGACCTTATAGACTATCTATCGATCTAACCAGGTCTCTATTGGAAGTTCCCTGGTAAGTTGGCGGACTTCCCTGGTCAGTGTGATTACAGCAGGTTCATTACTTCTTGCGCAACCAGAATCAGAGGTCAGCTTAATCGTTCAGACTTCCGTCAAAAAGCAGTTAGGAGAGACTTTCGTCAATGAGGTATGACAAGATCCTGAGCAGATTGCTGTGGGAAATTGCTTTACCATCGCTGCTAAAGTTTTATTTCCATGTCGATATTTCATATCGAACATTTCAACACTAAGGCTTAGAATTCCAATAAGTGGTAGGTGTTTTCGAAGCGTGATAAGCACTGGACACTAACAAGCGAACATTGATGGAAAAACAGGGCAAGAGGGGTCGTATCTCAGAAACGGAAGACCAAGAGCAACGGGTTTTAAGGCACGTTAATAGGCGTTGCGACCATGAAGAAAGTGAAGAAGTGCCGAAAGTGCGGAAAGTGCGGAATCTGCAGAAATGCCGAATGTGAAGAAAAGCAATAGATATGTATCGATTTGACTTTCCGCACTTTCTGCAGATTCCGCGCTTTCCGCACTTTCCGTACTTTCTTCAAATCGATACGTATCTAATGCTTTTTCACATTTTGCAGATTCCGCGCTTCCGTGAATTATCCGCACTTTCCTGGGCAGATTCGGATTTCGCAACCTTCCGCACTTGTTCGGCTTTCCGATTTTTCAATCGATGTACATATCTATTAGCTTTTTCTTCACTTCCGGCATTTTTCAGTTTCCTCGCAATTTCGCGTTTCGCTATTTCTTGATTTCTTCAATGATACGTATCCTATTGCTTTTTCTTCACATTCCGACTTTCCGTATTTCCGCATCTCTTAAATTTCGGCTTCTTGACTTTCTTACATGGTCGGAAGCTATGACGGGCCTAAAATGCGCGCGAATACTACGCGCAGCACATGATTAACCCTTTAGAGCTGGTGGTAAATTGGGGTATTTAAAAGCAAACAAAATAACAAGGTGCCCGCTAGGGTGTGGGTCAACAAAGAGCAATATATGCAGATAACAAATGGCTTACTTCCGGAGTTTGCTAGCTTTTCGCGCACTAGCCACACGTCCCCAAGTCACCTTCATTAACGTTCGCGTTTTTAGGCGAAGAACTGAATAAAGCTGCTTGACAACGCGATGCAATTGCAGCAAAATCATTTCACCTCTGTGAGCCTTGCTACGAGTTCTGCCTTCCTGCCAAGACTAGATAAACGACGCTTGCTGAGCTCTTTCTGTAAGTCCTTCACTTTGAGTTGGACAGAGGTTGCCGGATGGAAGTCCGAACTTCGAACAGTCCATGCTGAACGTATGATATCTTCTATAAAAAAAGAGATCACTTTATAAACGAACTATGAACGGTCTTGACAACAACTGAAAACACACGCTAATTTTGATAATTAGAGGGCTCCGCAATAGAATCAGAGGCTTGTGGAAACTCGTCCACTTCACCGTGCCGCCGCAGTCCCATCGCGCGGCGGTTAACGGTGCCGCTACTGGCTTGACAGGCCAGGTTGCCATCCATGATGAGGTTCAAATAAATCTGATCCATTCTTCTTGAAAGGCGAAATGACAGCCCAGAATGATGTTGTGTTCCACATGTACTCAAAGGCTGCAGTGTCTTATGCGGAGACTACGGTTCTGCCTTCCCACCCGGGTGGCACACAGATTCACTTGCTGACAATCGAATACTGGGATCTTTCAGACCGGATCAACTTTAAAAGTTTTGAACCCTAAACTGAGCTGAATCGGACAAATACAAGAGGACAATAAACTACGCGGGGCTGTACCAGCAAGCGCTAAAAAAACGTCCGATATAATAACCTCGTGCAACGGAAACACTTCTGCGATGAAGGCCGAAGTCAAATGGTGATCACTCGCCATTTGAAATGCTTAGTATCAAGGTGTACACATTCATTCTTTTAGGGATAGAGAATGAGTTGCCGCGAGGGATTCATAATCCGACAATAGGGCGCCTCCTCCCTTCCCTGTGGTTTTTGATCTACTCAGAGAATATTTCTTACCAGGAATGGGGAACTAGAAAAGAAATCGTTTGGCATTGTCAAAGCTGCTACAATGGGTGGATGTTCACAAGGGTTGAAGAGATATTTTCGGGTAACGGGTAAAGAGTCGATAGCTCGCAAATAAACTGTGACAAACTTTGACATAGGTGGCCATCTTCATCCATTTTAGGTGTTTTTCAGTATCCCCTTCGATATTCTAGGTTTATGACTTTATCAATGTCCTTTTTGCTTCGTGAAGCTCTCTGGGGGGTGACAGGATTTAGTAAATAAGTAGCAACTACAACGAAGATTGCTGAAAAGTGTCAGTTTGCTGATAACAGTGAGCTCTAGTCTTTTCTGTCACTTTATGGTGATGAGGAGTTTCTATACAATCAGACTGTCACCCACTTAGGTTTTGTGGTCACACTTAGGTTTGTGCCTCCTGTCCATATAGCAGCCCTTCCTTACTCCGCTTTCTCGTAGAACTATATACAATCTGTCCATTTCTAGCGGGCTAAATACGTTCCCCAGTGGCTTCCTCAAGGGCTCCTCGGTCCCAACATCCCAACCTGGACGCAACTGCACCTTCCACTGTCTCACTGAGGCGGAATACTGTGCACAATCTTGATGCTCTGCAGTTACGTACCATGCACCTAAATCGCCGCACACAGCTGTTTTCGAATTACGCTTTGTTGTATTTGGCGTGTTTCCCTAATTATGTTGGATTTTATTGAGTCTTTCCTTTGATACGTTGACGAATCGTATGGACTCGTATGCGAATCACGCTCATCAGATCCGTATCCTTCTCAATTGCTCGATTTCTTTGCTTGGTGTCTCATATTTTCTTTGCATAATCTTTTGTTCAGTATACTCGTTGAATGCGTGGTCCACAAACAGTTTAGTATGTGCCAATTTAGCGAATGTTTTCTGTAGACCACGGGTTGTTTATGTTCGTTTGTCGACTTCTTTATTGACAAATACAGGCAAATAAAAGATGAGACATGAAATCTTATATAGATAGATTTGCTTGTGCTTTTGACAAAAATTCCCGGAGTGGGAATAGTGACATATGTCGTATTGGTAGCTGAGTTGTTCGATTATCTTTCGTGGCCGCTGCGAGCCCTTTTCCTTCAAGCCATTTCGTGACCCCGCGAATATTGTATCTTTCCCTCCCACGGCGGGCACTTTCGGAACATTAACACCTCGACGAAGCCTTACAGAATATTGGCTAGCATCCATGCTGGCTCCTGCAGCGCAGACTTCAGACGGTGGCTCCAGCGCCAGTAGAGTGGATCATAAGCGCTTCTGAGCCTTCCAGGTGTTATTTCCGTGGTCAGAGATAAATTGCTCCCCTGGTCCTATCCTCAAGGTAGTTCTAATTTTGGGCCCAACTGAACTATTCCTGCCCCAAAAACTAAAAAAAATTTCGCTGAAACTTTGTCTATAGATGTTATTCGATGTCCTGATCACGAATATGACATTCATTTCTGGCGCTGGCGCCATTTGGCGCCACACCTTTTCTTCCCAAAATCGATAAAAACTTGCGTAATAGGGTTGTTTGATGCCCTGATCACGAGTATGGCATTTATTTCTCCATACCAGCGCCATTTAGCGTTCTGCTGAGGCTGAACCTGGGAAAAGGAGTGATTCCCTTCAGGCCAGGCTCAGTCTTAGCAAAGCGCAGATGACCATAGTGTCCTACGTTAGCGCCGGCGCCAAGAATAAATGTCATATTCGTAATCAGGATGTCAAATAACCCCGTATACAAGTTTTCATCGATTTTGGTGATTTAGGGTATTTTGGCGCCGGCGCCTGTGGCGCGGGCGCCAGGCAGTTTCGGGCGAAGCGGATGTGATATTCGTGTTCAGGAGGTCGAAGTACCCCTATAAGCAAATTTTCAGCCAAATCTGCCCTTGTAAAAAAAGTCGGTAAAAACCGCCTGATTTCGGCAGACTGGGGGGGGGGGGTAGGAGTAGTTCAATAGTGCCTTTGTTACTAGAACTTTGAAAAAGGAAAAATAGTGCCAAGTATATCGCTACTTAGTAAGTTCTCCCATATCTTTCTTTTGTCTAGACTATAACATTTTTACAGCCCTTGTAAGCTCATTCCCTGATCCAAGTTGTTATAGCTGCGCTCATACTTCGCACCAGCGCTTTGAGCGTACGGCAGCGTTTTGAGCATCTCTAGGAAAGTGTAGGTATGGAATTGGCTACGATCTAGCGTATGCTAACGTACGCCAGCATACAGAAGCGTTTTGAGCGATTCAGACGCTGGTGCAAAGTATGCACCCTAAGAATGCTCCTCGCGTAATCACGACTTGGTGTACGCATGCGCTCGTCACGTTCGGAAAAACGACGGGTCTCACGCGTCTGAAAAAGTCGGAACACGCACGGTAGTCAACGTGTGACTTTACAAACCATGATTCAGATGTCTCTCACTACGAAACTTCGCCGTATTCGCAAACCTCCACCAGAGGGATGGGATCTTATCGAACCAACGTTGGAAGAATTTGAAGCAAAAATGCGTGAAGCTGAAACGGATCCTCATGAAGGAAAGCGAAGAACTGAGACCTTGTGGCCAATTTTCAGGTATATGTGATTGCAAAACTTACAAGGCTTCTTACTCATCTTTTACTAGTTCTCTCAAACTTCATCAGACTCCTAAAATCTTGAGTAAGAAGTCAAGAGCGAAGTGGTCATTGTATTTATTCGTAATTCTTTCTTTACAGAATTCATCATCAACGGACCAGATATATTTTTGATTTATTCTATAAGCGAGAGGCTATTTCTCGGGAACTCTATGAGTTCTGTCTAGCTGCTAAAATCGCTGATGCTCAGCTAATTGCTAAATGGAAGAAGCAAGGCTATGAGAATCTTTGTTGTCTCAGGTGATTGGCTTCTTCATTATACCGCTAAGCAGCTAAGGATAGTAGATGGAAGTGGCCATTCGAAATGCAATATCTGGTATCAAATGTACTTTGTGAGCTGATTACAAACCTGCTTTCTATAACGATTCTGTGAGTAAAGTTATGACCTGGTCACACCCACGCTCAACATGTATTTGAGGCACAAGGAAACCCCCGAGATCGCTAACATCTGGAAGTATAGGTGGTCTGGTTCACTGTAAAGCAGAGCTACAGCCATTTTCTTATGGAAATAGTGTATTCGCATTCCATTGTCGCCGCTCATTTGTGGAGTGTGGCGTCGAAGAGGAGGGTGTGCAGGAGCCCGTAGCGCATGCGCTTTGCACAGAACAAGTGTTATATCTGTGTTCTGTGGTTCAGACTAACTGTAGGGGAGCTCTTCAGTCATATCTGAGGTTCCAAACTAACTTCGAAACAGCGTGGTAACCATAGGCAATATATCTCTCAAGATCGCTGGCTCCCCGATTAGCAATGAATTTTCCATGACTCTCAATCCTTGGCGGTAACTGACAGTACTGATCCCGAATATGCATCCATTTTTGACGACCGTGCCATTTGGCGTCCCTTCGGCAATACAGTACAAAGTTACAAGTAATCCCGCCGGAAACAGCAATCAGAAATGTCCTTCGATAGCCTTAAAGAATATCTCTATTTCTTTTAAGGCGACACTTCTCGAAAGATTAGATTTCCTGGAAGCGCAAATGTGTATTTAGAATGTATAGAGGATTTAAAAAAATGCGCTACGATAAGTTTACCAAGGATATGAACCCTTCAGCTTGCAGATAGGAGGCCGGTCGCCTATCCGCTGGGTTATCGGTGCAAATCAAGCTTCGCTTACGCATCATTTACTCCTTGAGTATTGATGTGTACGATCTCGGATAGCTCAACAAACGCATAACTTGCTTGGCGGATTTCGAAAGCAGATTCGAGATCAGCTTCCAAAGACGCGTCGCTGGGTATATATATCTCATGTTGAATGACCACTTAAGGCCAATCATCCTTTCCTATAAGTTGCTAGACAATATTGATGCTCCTTGGCGTTTTTCTTCATGTGTTTTTCAATGTACGCTTTACTTTTTGTTTATGAAACGCATTTTAGATGTGTTCAAACGCGGGATACCAACTTTGGAACGAACTGCATATGTCGCGTTCCTAAGAGCAAACTTGACGCGGAAAGAGTCATTGAATGTGTTCATTGCGGTTGTCGCGGCTGCTCTGGTTGATGTACAGCAGAACTTTTGAATGATTGTAATTGCGATGTTCATGTATAAATATTTAAGAATGTATTTCTATTGTTGGCCATCTCTTTCTGTATCACTG